ATGCTAACTTTTGGTGAATTTAGGAGAAATCTACAGACGCAAATAGACAAACTATAGTAAAATAAACACTTAAATGTGTATTTTGTACGTTTTCCTTCCAAAAGCCTGAAAGAAAACACGTTATGGAATCAAAATAGCACAAAATCTCAAAATTGACCAGTGCAGGAAAAACGATGTTTTTGCCTGCCGTGTCTCGCCTTAAACTATTTTGAGAACCAGGAAAATGTAAAAAATACGCCCCAAAATAGTGTCTCATAATCGGGTAGAGTCACCTGCAAAGTGCCCTCGCATTCCTCCATGTCAAACTTAAAGTATTGAGAGAACCAGGCTGGGGGGTCCTTGCGCCACAAAATTAGGCCCACTCAGAGTGGTTGGTGAGCGGATACATTCTTCCATGATTTGCAACAGCCGTTTTTTTTCTGAGTGCACCCAAAAACTGGGTTTCCGATTTCGTGCAGACGGTAGTTTGAAAAGTATGGATGAATCTTTTTGACAGAGAAGTGGAAATGAAGCCCAGGGACTTTTTCCCCTTCTCCGTTGTACCAACCATCGGAGAAGGGGAAAAATCGGCCCGAAGCGCCAATAGTCTGGCCCCTTCTCCCGTTGGCACTCTGTCATTTTTTTGACAATTTTTCAAAACTTCATTTTTGATTATTTTAAGATATAATTAAGCGTTTTCTTCACTTTGTTTTGCTTTCCACGGGTGGGGGCGCCTGGCAGGCCGCCTATGAGCACCCAAATTTGGCCTGGATCATCCAGGATTTGTGGGCTAAGCTCCATAAACTGACTAAATCACCCAGAGAGGTCACCTTTCTAGCCCAAATATATATAATACAAATACATTTAAATAGTAAAAGGTGCACTTGTGCTCTGCATTACCCGGAATTTTATTTTCATAGCCCCATGATAGTGATTAAAAATCATTTTCATGGGAAAAAGTGTTAAAACGCCTGATTAAATTATATGCAGGACCCCAGTGAGCTCCAGACTATGTGCATTGTGTTGGGGAACCATATAAATGATAGAATAAATGCATTTAAATGCAAAAATAATGATTTTAAATCATTTTAGGGGGGACAATTGTGGAGAGGAGCCTGAAAATGACTGCAGCAGGCCGCCTATGAGCACCCAAATTCGGCCTTCTTCACGCACCACCACCCCTTCTGTGGAGGGTATTCTCGTGCCCCTGGTGACTCTACAAGGGGGGTGGTTTTTATGGTGCTTCGATGTCCGCCCATCAGCATCCATATTCGGCCTTCTTCACGGCATCACCCCCCCTTCTGTGGAGGGTATTCTCGTGCCCCTGGTGGTCTTACAAGGGGGTGGTTTTATGGTGCTTCTGTGTCCGCCCATCAGCATCCATATTCGGCCTTCTTCACGGCATCACCCCCCCTTCTGTGGAGGGTATTCTCGTGCCCCTGGTGGTCTTACAAGGGGGGGTGGTTTTTATGGTGCTTCGATGTCCGCCTATGAGCACCCAAATTCGGCCTGGATCATCCAGGATTTGTGGGCTAAGCTCCATAAACTGACTAAATCACCCAGAGAGGTCACCTTTCTAGCCCGCTCACAGAGCCCCCAAGGACGGACTATAGACCTCCAGCAGCAGTCCCCAACAGTGGGACTTCCATAACCTTGCACTCACTTCACTTGTCTCACACACACCCAGGGGGGTGAAAGAGGACACATTGGAGCACACATTGACCCAGCAGTAAGTGCTTGAAACGTGGCTAAAGGTGTGTCAAACAGTGGGGTAACATGTTTCAAATGACAGCACACTGCTGCTTGTTGGCAGGCTGACTCAGTTCACTTGTCTCACACACACCCAGGGGGGGAAAGATAACACTTGTACCCAGGAATAAGTGTTTGAAAGGTGGGGAAAAGTTGTTTGAAATAGTATAATATCTCCAGGGCGCATAACTGCACTTTACAAGCCAGAAATAATGGTTAAATGGTCTGGGAAAGTATTTTTAAATGTCTGGAAGAGAGTTTTAGACAGTCATTTTGCACGAAATCATTTAACATAGACGCTCTCCTGAAAATGCACAGAATATGTGCTTTTTCAGGAGACTGTCAATGTTAAATGATATCTCGCAAAATGACTGACTAAAACCCCGGAATAAGTGTTTGAAAGGCGGGGAAAAGTTGTTTAAAATAGGCTGATACCTCCAGGACGCATAACATGGGTAAAAAGTGTGTTAAAAGGTCGGGGAACATGTTTGAAATGACAGCAGACTGCTGCTTGTTGGCAGGCTGACTCACTTCACTTGTCTCACACACACCCAGGGGGGGTGAAAGAGCACACATTGACCCAGGAAAGAGTCCTCAAAACACAGGTAAAAGTGTGTTAAACAGTGGGGTAACATGTTTGAAATGACAGCACACTGCTGCTTGTTGGCAGGCTGACTCACTTCACTTGTCTCACACACACCCAGGGGGGAGAAAGAGGGCACATTTGAGCACACATTGACCCAGGAAAGAGTCTTCAAAACACAGGTAAAAGTGTGTTAAACAGTGGGGTAACATGTTTGAAATGACAGCACACTGCTGCTTGTTGGCAGGCTGACTCACTTCACTTGTCTCACACACACCCAGGGGGAAGAAATATAACACTTGTACCCAGGAATAAGTGTTTGAAAGGGGGGGAAAAGTTGTTTGAAATAGTATAATATCTCCAGGGCGCATAACTGCACTTTACAAGCCAGGGAAGAGGCCTGAATCCTGGGGTAAACATTGTTTAATTGTTTAAGTGTTTTTAAATGTATGGAACAGTGTTTTGTCTCTTTCAAAACTCTCCCGTCATTGGCCGGATACATGGGGACGATTTTATATTCACTATGACCGTTACTATTCCAGTGAGACGAAGTACGTCCGGTGACGGGAGTGATCCCATGTTAATTTTGTCCAAAAACCAGAGCATTCCCTAATCTACGTAGAAGCCCAGCCGGTGACATTTTATTGAAATATGTCCACTTGTTTGTCTCAAGGGGTAAATGGATGTCTGACCCCTAGATTCCACCGGGTCCGTCTGCGGCGCGTTACGGGCGCGTTACGGGCGCGTTACGGCTGCGCCGCGGTGCTCACGGCGATCGCGGCGATCGCGGCCACTCTAGTCAATGGGTGCTATTCCACCACACGCGGCGCGTTACGGCTCAGAAGCGTCCCAGAAGCGGCTCGGCGCAGGGCTCCTCTAAAATTAGGATCGAATCCTATTTTTGTCGCGGCGCAGCCGTAACGTAAGGTCGGGCAGGCAGGAAGTGGAACCTTCAGAGCATATATAGCATATATATATAGATATATACACACACACACAAACTAATTGTGCAGACCCTATCCCTCCGTAGTCTTTCAAGTAGGAGGAGAAATGCCAGCGTTCTCCTCCGGTTTACAGGCACTGTGTAAATTATAGAATAATTATGATGATGAATGCATTTTTTTACCACTAAAATACAGCAACACATCTTTGATTCATGTCGTTTATAACTGGAATATTACAGTTATTATTAACTTTGTCTGTACAAAGTAGCCTGTCCAGGAAATATGCCCAAATCAACAAAAACTGCGAGCCGGCAGGCACGACGCTCCGCTTCTGAAATGCTTCTGAAACGCGCCCGGTAGGGTATGACGCCGGAGGAGGCCGGACCAAAACCGCAACGCGGCGCAGACGGACCCGGTAGAATCTGGGGGTGAGAGTCAGGAGGTCATTGGTTGAGAACAAGCCAATATGGACCGTCCTTTTCCCAAGCGATCCTGTTATACAGAGTAGAGCCACCATAACCCCTTCATTCAATTAAGTCCATTTAGCTGTCTTTGGCTATTTTCTGCTGTAACAATGTACATTTCCCCTCTGTTGGACTAATAAAGGTATTCTGTAGGGATGCTCCGATCGATCGGTCACCGATCGAGATCTGCCGATACTCACTCTCTACCGATCGATCGGTGCTCTCTAAACATGCCGATCGCGAGAGCCGATCGCATGACGTAAAATACATGACACTTTTCTCTGCGCGGCAAAACAAGCTCGCCAAAATGGCTTCACCGGTCTGGCAGTATTTTAAGGTGTCCGAAAAAGACAGTAAAATAGCGGTATGCAACGTGTGTGTGAAGCAGAAACCCTGCAGCTCCACCCGCTGTGACGGACCGGTGAGCGGAGCAGAACACACATTAAGAGTTAGACCTAACACACTTAGCTATTTGATCTACCTCTGGAACAAGCTAAACTAGTTATACATATATTTATTCTTCACTGTCGGGTCACTCATTACTGGATCAGTGAGCTGCAGGAGATACTGACGGGCTGTCAGGAGAGGGAG